TGCTTAAACAAAGTAATGCCAATATCATTAAAATGCCTTAGGCTTTTTCATTATTCTTCTCTAGTCATGCTTTATCTCTTCAAATAGGACCCCTCCTCTCCTCCTCACCCAGTACACTTGCTCTGTACTTTTCTTACAGTACTCTGAGGGGAAGCTTTATGGTTTCAGCTGTTAATCATGAGTATTTAGCTGACTGCCAGAAAATATTTGTAGTTTCATGAAATCAAACATATGAAAAGCTATAATTCTTTTTTCTGATGGAAAGTATGCAAAGTGCTTTTGCTGCATTTGGTCGCATGGCTAAGGGACTTGAAAGAAGCATGATTAAAAACTAGTGAGAAAGATATTTTAGGAACATGGATAGACCTCTTTAAATGGTCAAAGAACATGAGGATATTTCTGTTCCAGACAAATGCTCATCAAAAGGTTATGCTTTAACAGAGTAATTTAATAACCAAGTAGGCAGGATGACCCATTCTGTGCAGTCAGCCTTTCTCTAGCTATCCCTGTTTGTTATTGCCCAAAGTGCCCATGAATATAGTGGCCATGGTGGAGAGATGGAGGCTATGCAAAGCCTCAACAACATGGATTAAACAAGGCTGGCCTGACTATAGCTACTGCTGAGTGCCAAATCATCCCACAGAAGAGACCAACACTGAGTCCCGAATATGGTGCCATTATTTGACATGGCCAGCTAGTGACCGGGTGGTAGGTAAACTACATCAGGCTACTTCCTTCATGGTGAGGGTAATGTTTGTCCTTCCTGGAGTAGATATTCATTCTGGTTATGGATTTTCATTTCCTGAATATATTGCTTCTCTGTCCAAACTACTATCCATTAGCACAGTATTCTACACAGCATCATTTTTGACAAAGGAACTAATTTCCCAGCCAGAAAAGTGTGACAGTATACTTAACATTGTTGATTCCACTGGCCATGACATGTTCTTTATAATCTTGAAGCACTGGCTTAATAAAATGGTAGAATAGCCTTTTAAACACTATTGATTGATTGCACTAAATAGGTGGCACTATCCTGGAGCTCTGGAGAATCATCTAGAAGGCAGTATAGGCTTTGAGTCAGTGTCTAATATATGGTACTGTTTTTCCTATAGCTAGGGTTAATGGGTACAGGAAGTTCCACTCATCACCCCCAGTGGAAAATTTTGCTTCCTGTTCCTAGACATTCCTGGCCTAGAAGTTTTGACTTCAGAGGAGGGAATACTTCTACTAGGAAACGCTACAAACATTCTGCTGAACTGGACACTAAGCCTCTTTACTGGCTATTTGGGGCTTTTGATGTCCTTTACACCAACAGACTGATAAGAAAGGAACAGCAACTAAAAAGATGACCTAGTGTGTAAGAGTACTTGCTGTTCTTGTAGAAAACCTGGGTTTGGTTCTCATCACCCAAATGGTGGCTGAAAACAATCAGTAACTCAAGTTCTAGGGACTTTGACACTCACTTCTGGCTTCTGCAAAAGTTCACATATAGTGCATAGACATTCATACACGCAAAATACCCATACACATATGTGGGGCGGAGGACTGTGAAAGGATAGCATGGTTTCTGGTCGAGCACTGGCTAGAGATGGCTGGAGACCCAACGGGTATCCTTGCAAGGGACAGCATGCATTTTGCCATGCTCCCAGACTCCAGGCTCCTGACACGAGGCCGAAGACCTCCATTGATCCGTTGAGACTTCTCTACTCCCAGGTGGAGCCCTGTGACTTCTCATATGAACTCAGTCAAATTCCCACACTTTTGCCATCCTGAGCCATGGCAGACACTTGGGATCCACAACTCAGCCCAACAGGACCCATGCCCATGCACAAGCTACAGCCTCACACACATGAAGAAATCTTTAAAAAGGAGGAGAAAGGAAAGTGAAAAAGGAAGGAAGGAGGGGAAAAAAGGTGTTAGAAGGGGTGATTGATCCAGACTACAGGGGGAAAAATTGGACTGCTTCTCCACAATGGAGGTAGAGAAGATTACTCTGGAGTTTAGGCAATCCTTTAGGGTGTCTCTTGATGCTACCATGTCCTATGATTAAAGTCAGTGGGAAACAATCTAGGCAGAATGACAAAGGGCACAGATGAGCCCCTCAAGAATGAAGGTATGACTCACTCCTCCAGTAAAAGGAGGAAGAGCTGCTAATGTGCTTGCTGAGGTTAGAGAAAATACAAAATGTATAGCAGAGGAAGATAAGCTAATAATAATACCAGCTAAGGCCACAGGACATGTTGCAGAAATAACTGATATGAATTCTTGTCTTACTTTGTTAAGAACATGTTTATGCACAAATACACATATATTAAGCCAATATCTGTTTTCTTCTCTCTATTTATCATGGAATATACCATTGATTTAGGTACAATTAGTAGTTTCTGTAAACTGTATTATTTTTAGGTTGTGTGAAGCTAAAAGACTAAGGTATCCTTTAAAGGATGTTGCAACCTACTCTAAAATATATAATACATTTGTGTTAGTACATGGGATAGTTATGTCATGTTAGGCAGAATTATATTCTGGTTAGTGTTTGCATTTGGAAACTAAGTGCAATGCAAGGAAAAGCGACGGGGTGTCAAACTGACAAGGGTAGACTTGTGATCACTAATCTTGGGTGTTAACTTGATTTGAACTAGTGTTACCTCAGAAAGAGGAAACCTTAACCAAGAAATTTCCTCCATCCGACTGGCCTAGGGGATTTTTGTGGGGAATTTTCTTGATTAATGATAGATGTCGGAAGGCTTAGACTTCTGTGGGCAGTACCACTCTGGATAGATGGTCCTGGGTTGTGTAAGGACACTGAACATGTCACAGAAAACAAGCAACCATAATTCCTTCCTCTGCTCTTGCTTGACTTCCTGTCCTGATTTCCCTCAATCAATGATCAGAATGTTTAAGTCAAATATACCCTTCCTGACCCAAGTTGCTTTTGGTCATTATGTTTACCAGAGCAACAGAAAGCAACAAGGACAGTGCTATAATTTAACATATTGGAGATTACACAACAGCATTACGGTTTTATTAATATTACTTTTCTAGTTACAGGACAAAATGATTGATGGTCAATTAGCTTGCAAAGTTCACAAAGCTACAAGTGGTGAAAACTGCATTCTCTTATCTATGAAGTCATAGTCTAGAAACTTCACTAGTCAAAATTCTATTCTGTCCAGTGTTCTGAACAGTAAATGTGCTTTCATATTTATCTCTTAATATTTTTATGAGCGGCATAAAGTGTAGACACCTATTGTCAATCTCCTTCCAGGTCTGTAACCAGTTGCCTTGGAATATTTACAAAATAGGACATCTTCCCCAGTGATTTCTACTGATACCTGCATTTACTAGGATTTCAGTAATGCCTAGGAAATTTCTGAGCTTTTACTGATTTGTATTCTGACCAACAGGACCCAGTTTTAATTACTGCACTGAAAGTCCTTCATGGGTCTTAAAGCAAGCTTCTCTTGATTTTATTATTCTTGTCTCTTTAAGACTTGCTTGTCAGTTTTATGATCAGGAAATCATTTCCTTTTTGTAAAACCAACAAACTAGTAAAATTTGACTAGACATTAACTATGCAAAAATCATTCCTAATCAGCTGAGATATAAGTACCTGCTTTGAAATATTATTTTATGCCTGTCAAAAAAAAGTTTTATGATGTTCTCTGTAAGGACTTACATAGTCTATTGGTTTCATTTTTTGGTATTTACTTACTATGGTTTTACTTTTTCTTTCAAGATAGGGCTCTTGTAGTCCAGGCTGGCCTTGAACTTCCAATCCTCCTTCCTTTTCCATCTAAGTGTTAGACTTGTATAATATCTTACTGTATTCAATTTGATGAAATCTATTTAGGATTTTGAACTTATATCTGTAAATTTCAATTTTCCTTTCTTTTGCCATCGTTTCTTATTTGCAACCATAAGTCTGTCAGAAAACCAAGGTTCATGTTCTATCCTATAGAATGCTACATTGCTTCTGTAAATAAAGAGGGGATACATAGTATAGATAGCAAATAAAAATGCAAAGCTGGGCAGTGGTGGCACACACCTTTAATCCCAGCACTTGGGAGGCAGAGGCAGGTGGATTTCTGAGTTTGAGGTCAGCCTGGTCTACAGAGTGAGTTCCAGGACAGCCAAGGCTACACGGAGAAACCCTGTCTCGAAAAACCAAAAAGTAAAAACCCCATGCTTTACAATGTCCAAAAGTCAAAAGTAAGATATATATTTTCTTATGTCTTATATTGCAGTTATATTTCACCTTTCTTAGAGGCTAATAATTTAATGTTTCTCATAAAATAAATAATACAGTCTAAAATCAGGTTTCAAATAAGGTGGATTACTTCCATCTTTTAATATTGACTAACCAGTCTCTAGAAACTTTCTTTTAAACTAACTGCTGTGCTCATTCCTAGAGCCATAGCACAAATACATTCTAGGATCATTTCAATGACACTTACTTTTTTTAAAAAAAAATCTTCTTCCCAGTTTCCGAGTCAATTTTTATGAATATCACTGGATCATTACCAATATCTTATCTCTGATTAAGCATGGGACATCCCCTCTTTGTTTTTTTTTTCCAAGAAGTGATATGATCTCTAAACCATTTGAATGAAAACTACCTATTTTTCATCTCTAGACAAGCCATTTATTTGGCATCTTCCCACATTCTTAAAAGGCTTTTTTTTTTCTTTTTTCTTTTTGGGCTTCTGTGAAGACACAGATATCTTGTAAATAAACTCTATAAATACAACATAATAAGACATCTCTGTATATTTTAAATGATAGGAATGTAGTGTACTTATCATAGATACATAAGTAAAAATAAAAGATAACTCATTAAAAGCTGTGCCACAAAGTTGTGTATTTTTTTCTCTCTGGTCTACGCCATGTAAGTGAAACAAGGAAAGAAAGGTAACTTTCTCTACGAACAAAACATATCCATGTTTACATATTTTAGAATACGAATGTAGGTATTATATGCTAAACAAACAACTTACCTTGCTGAGCAGTTTGCTCTTGCGTTCGAGTCACAGTGAGGTCTAAGGGGCCTTCTTGCTCATCCTGAAGGCAGTTCTCTGCTTGGTTCATTTGGATACTTTTACATACGAGACTTGCTCCAATTGAACCATTTCTATTTTCTTGAATTTTACCACTTTTTGAGATGTACTCAATTGCAAACTGACGTATCATCTTTTTCATTAATTCCTGAGCAACTAAGGGAATGTTAGGATCACAGTTCTGAGGAAGATCTGGGGAAGAAATAAATGTATCATTAAAAGACAAATATGAACAACCTGGGGGTTTTACAGAGAAATGACATTATTAGTATCTAGTGGCAGTCCATAGTGGCCAGTAGTCTCTGTGATTCAGCAACTATTCTTCTGAAATGTAACTTTTAAAAAAAAATTCATTTTTTACTTCTATCTCAAACAAAAGTACAGATTAAAGGATAAGGCACAGGAGCAGGACTTACCTCCACAATTAAATGTTCATTCAAACATTCTATTAAGATATTAAAACTACATTAAGTACTTGAATACAAACCTTATATGTGAGTCAAAGGTATACAATATACATCAATGATTAAGACATCTGAGCTTTAGAACTCTCTACCAATGATTTTTTTTTACATTTATTCTACCAAGTGTGTTTAATTTATTACACTCAATTGTCATCAAAGATTTATTTTGTTTTACACAGAAAAATGGTCACTGTATAGCTCAACAGGCAAGTACAGTGACCTAGATAGTGGTCATCAAGATTCAAGATTTGCTAATATCCTGATACATTTGCTTCCTTAAATTTGTATAGCCACTAAAGAAAATGAGCTGTCTAGAACTACAGTATTTCATTTATTAAAGAAAAATTGCAGCAAGTATTGTCAATAGTGTCCTATAAAAGGGCAGTATTATTTACGATTGAAGATCTTGATCATACAAAGCATGCTGATCAGCTACAACCATAGTAAAGCTCTCACACAGGCCTGCTCCTGCATTCTCATCTCCTCCCTCCCACCCTCCCTCCCACCCTCCCTCCCACCCTCCCTCCCTCCCTCCCCTCCCTCCCTCCCTGTGTCTGGCAGAAACCTGTAAGACGGGGAGGGAGATCAATTAAAGGACTTTACCATAACAAGTATAGGTTAATCACAAGGTCATCTATAAACCATCTGAGTACCTGCAAGATACTTTGTTTGGCCTAGTGGTAACTTTTTACACACACTTCTGGTCTCCCTGGCCTTCAGAGGTAGAAAGAATGAAAAGCCATGAAGGATAGATAATCACACCTGGGAAGACTTCCCCCTTCTTTGAAACAGATCTACTTCTGGAGACACTTACACAAACCAGTACTATAGGAACAAGCCTGTACTGGCCCAGAGCTGTATGAGAATAGAGGGGCAATGCTCCCTAGTTTGACGGTTCAGTATTAGTTAGAATACCTGTTAAAAAGACAAAGGAAAGTCATCCCAGCATGATAAGTCATTTATCACGATAGGTTCATGACTATAACACAAGAGGATTTGAAAATATAAAATTCACACAGAGAAAAGGAAAAATCTTACTTCTATCATGTCCATTACCACTTTTTGTAACAAAATTCAACTTAGGCCAACAAATTATCTAACCATGAAATATTCTCTCAGATCTGGTGGACATATTGCATAACACGTACTATTCATTTCAAAGTAAATACTTTTTAATTATGAAAAACATTCGAGAGAAGGCACTATGGGATATAAGAGCAGACCTAAGTCTTCGCTTTCACTCTCTGCTATGAACCAGAAGACCTAGCTATAGGTGGGAATCTTAGCAACCTTTGTGAATTTCAGCTAGCCACATACCATCTGTTTTCTGTTTCCATATTTATTAAAGTAGCAATAATAGACAGTGGAAAGTCATAATAGGGCTTCATCATAAAATGGTACAGAAATTATGATTGTAGCTAAAATATTGAACTGTCTTGGATATATAAAGAGCTCAGTTAACTGTGATCTGTTATCAGAGGTAACAGGTTGTAGGAATAACACAAACAAACAGACACAGATTTAATGGTCATATTAAAAATCAGAGTCAAAATGGCAAGTAAGTTTTCATGCCTAAGGTGATAATATACAAACTCCAGTGAGTTTTTTGTTGTTGTTGTTGTTGTTGTTAAAAATGATACTATTATCGTATGCTTTCTAATAAAGGAAAATAAACAGTTTCTTTATTGGACACAGAAATTACAAACACATTTGTTAATTATTACCTTCATAAATGGATGGCTTCTATAGAAACTCCACACTTTTAAACACTACATCTTGCTTCACATATCTGTTTACATAAGATGGTAGTTTCAGACTTAAGTATTTTTGATCATTGCTGTGCAGCTTATTGTTCAGTATCATGTGCCAGTTCACAGTAACATTAACCATAGAAGGAACAAAAGCATTTTGATGTACAACTAGAATTACATTTGAGTTTAAAGCTAAGTTTAAATTCTGTCCTACTCACTATCATGTTTTGTCTCTTTTATGTCTTTATGGTATACTATGGAATATGTACACGTGAGGTAGGACAAGACAAAGAGATGTTTCTCAATTGTTGATTACCTAATATGCTTCTCAAGTTGCTTATGCAAATCTGTTGTAACTCAAAACAATAACAAAACAAAAAAACAAAACAAAACAAACAAAAACAAAACAGCACAAAGTAAGATCCCTGTAAGGGAGTTTAAGCTCTGCTTATAGATAAGTGGCATTTGAGACAATGTGTCTAGTAATTAAGGCTTAAGCAGCTGTGGTGGGGTGGTCTATGTAATTAAGGGAAACCTGCAATTTGGCTAGAAAGGAAGAATGCTGCCACCTACAAAAGGGTACTGCCCCTACCCAAGATGGACTTACTAAGTTTTGCCTCATCTCTTCATTTTTCAAAGTTAACCAAACAAATACAACACATTTTGTGTGCTTGCAGACTTTTGTAAAGATTCCTGTACCACAGGACACTTAGTGTTGTGTAGTCCACTCCAATGTTATAATATAGGCAGCATGGTGATTGATAGCACACTGTGGAAGTATGTTATTAGACAGTAGTCTATACTGACAGGTCTCGACTTCACAAACTGTTCATATTAGTACAGTTCACTTACTCAGCCACCTGCCTGGTCCTGACCTCACTCTGTTTTCTCTAGCCTCTTCCATTTTATTTCTTTCCAGAGTAAACAGTCACATGGGAGTTTCACAAGAATGAGCAAAACATCCTCACAAGTCAATAGTGTATTGCCCAGAAGTATATATACCAAACTAAAAAAAAAAATCTCAGAAGGCTGAAATCTCAGCTAACTCTCAAACTGTGAAGAACTATGAGCCAATCCATCCAGCTGAGATAGATGGATTCTCTGGATTAAATCTGTGATCCAGAGAAAATGTGAATTAATATATCTATATAATTTTAATTAGGTAAATTTTTGAGGGAGATTGTTATAACATAAATACTGTAGGGTTTTTTTTTGGTTATATATTAGTGGGATGCTATTATAATAAAAGATTAAAGTAGTGACTTTAGAACCAGGCTGTGAGCTATGAAGGTAATGCCAATGAAAGGCAAAAATAACCTCAAGTTCTAATTTACAAAAAACTTATACATTTAATACACAGAGTGAAGTATGCGTGAAAACTAGGAAATGATAGAAATTGAAGAAATAAATACATAATTATTAAATAATACCAAACCTATTTTGTCTATAGTAACTTCAAAGTAAAAAATGTGCCTAATGTTAGAAGATCTACTGGGGAGATTTCAAAGCAAAACACAAAAGTCCTTTTACTTATTCTTGCTAATTAAATTAAAATAAAAAAGGAGATAAAGAAGTGTTTAAAATAAAAGCTACCAAGCCATGGTTATTTAAAAATTCTCACAGAGGTAGAAAAAGCACATGATCACATTAAGGAGTGCTTATTCAGGTAGGAGATGCAGCTAACAGTGTTTTGAAATTTAAAGCTCTAAACACATATAAAAAGAAAAAAAATCCAATCAATAACTTCATGTCTCACATTAAAAGTAAATAAACTAAAAACCAAATCAAAGCAAGCAGAATGTAAATAAACAGCCAGAGGAGAAATCAATGAAATACAGAATGGGAAAATAGAGATCAATGAAACTAAAAGGTACAAACAAACAAATTAAAAATAAAACGTCAAAACAACAACAGTAAAACATTAAGTAGACTGATAACAAAAATAAACAAATGAACAAACAAAACCAGATAAACTCAAAATTGGTAAAACTGGGATGACAAGAAACAACACCAATTTTAAAAGAAAATACAGAAATACAAGGAAATACTATAAAAACAACACTTCAATTAGATAACCTAGGCAAAACAATCTAATTCCTAGAAGAACACAAGCTGGCTAACTGACTCAAGAAACAACAGAAGATCTTGACTGACTTAAAAACAAGTCAAAATGAAATCAATAAACAAACACACTCAACATAGAAAATAATCCAGGAATATATGGTTTCAGTGGTTACTTTGCCATCACATTTAAATAAGAATTAATTCCAACTGTTTCAAGCTCTTTAAGTCAAAAGCAGCCATACCTCTAACTCATTCTGTAAGCCTATTAATCTGATGCCAAGACAGGTCAAAAACATGCATATAACACTATCAAATGAAAATTATCATTTTACATGCACACAGGAATGTATGCACGCACACATGCATGCAGGGGGGAATATATCAACAAAATGGTACCAAATAGAGTTCAGCAAATGCATAAAAAGGACTCTGAACAACAAACAAAGTAAAGGGGCTTAATATCCCACGAATTGGAGTTTGGGTCAAGAAATGAGAATCACTTAGTTATTGTAAAACTATTAACAGAATGCAGCACATACAAGCACCATCTCCAAAAATGCAGGAAAAAAAATCACATAACAAGCCTTGATAGTAAAAACCATAAAAAGCATTAACTAAGAACAAAAGACAATGACTTCAATCCACACAACATAGGTAACATCATATTTGCTTTTTGATTTGAGGAAGGAATAGCTTCAGTTCTGAGTGAGACAGTCTCACTATGTAGCTCTGTTAGATGTGAATTTGTAATCTTCCTGCAACTTTTCTGTTTTGTCAAACTCTTGGGTATAAAAATTAAAGGCATGGGCTTTAGGGTACAGTTATCTTTTTAATACTGATCTATTGAACTTAATTAAAATATCAAGCTCTTTATGACAAGCTTATTCATTCATCATATTCTGGATGTTATTTT